GGTGCCCCAAGTGATGTGTAATTGGGTGCCCAAATTAAGCGTCCAAAGTGTGCGCAGTGTGCTCGTTTAGGTGGGTGCCCAAAGTGATGCGGGTACCAGTTTGATGGGCGCATTCCAGGGAGGAGCCCTGGATTAAAGACTGGAAAAACACAGATTTGGATAATTTTTATTTTTTTCCGCATGTGCTTGAGCACTTGCTAAAATGTCAATCCTGGATTAGCAAACGCCTTGGTACTTTCATGATTATGTGATACTATGTGCAATTTCAATACCAGATCATCAATTTTATGGAGGGGAACCCTGCATGGGTCAATCAACAACATGATGCATGCTGCCTTCACATGAGTAAAGAACATCTCCTACATATCCTACAGCTGCACGGCGGCTATATTCGCATATCTAGATGAAAGGGCATGATGTCACGGGTGTGCGTATACTATATCTAACATGTGTGTATCATGTGTGTATATGGTATGTCAAGATATAACTTGTGAACCTCAAAATCGCTGACTATTTGGCACACGGAAGCGTCTTGTGAATGGGGGAGAAGCGGAGTTTAACCAGGAAACAGATGGATATCGGCACCTGAGGATATGACCATTAAAGCTGGTTGATGGAACATCATTTTGCCATAAATGGAACGACAAAATCGCAAATTTAGCATTCCTTAGTTGATCTATGTTAATGCAAGGTTCGTGTAGTTCCATCATGTTTGGTTGCGTTTCCCATGATTCTGTGCGTTTTTGTCTCATTTTCTGTGTCCAAGCAACCAAGGTTTTCTTTTTCGCTGCTTGGTGAAAAGTGCTGGGGCCGCATGGGCGCGGACCATCCCGTCCTTCATATTAAACACTTACCAGAGTCACCTTGGTGAAACGTACGGGATGACATCGCATATGACTAGGAGAATCAACCTTGGGGGTGGAACTGATGTTAGTTTGCTGCAGTAGGTAAGTTGGTATCTACGGCTTTTTGGGACATCATCGAGTTGAATGATCGCTGCGGTCGTTCAACAGTTGGTTGGTGCGATCCGAAAGACAAACAAATCTAATCCCCTTTGTTTTTGCCCTAGATGGCCCCCCTGATGATGAGCGGATCCAATAAAAATCAGTTGTACTGGAGTGTGGGTGAATTATAGCAAGCCCCTAAATAGTCAAAAAGTTGGCAACTTGGACATTATGAGATAAGTATATGTAAGTTTCATCATTCGTACATCCTGGATGTGTTTGTCTATTTGTTTGAGGACCTTTTTTTCAGAGGCAGGGGTGAGCCCCTGACTACGTATTTCCCCTTTTTGTTTCAATTTCCCCAGGGTGTTTTTTGCAGAAACATATATATCCTCAAAGCTACTGTGGCAGCAAGCGAGCAAGCAAGCCAGCCAGCAAGCAAGTAAGCAAAGCGAGGGACGGACGGGGACAGCAAGCCGTCAAACAAGCAAGCCTGCCTGCCTGCTTGCCAGCCAGCCAGCAAGCAAGCACACAAGCAAGGGAGGGAGGGAGAGGATAGCCAGCCAGCCAGCAAGCATAAGTCAACCCGAGATAAACATCGTAAACCTACCCTAAATAAACCTTAATCTTAAATGTTGAAACCAAGTCTCAACAAATTTCAAACCAGGGCCAAACAGCACCGTAAAACAATCTTAAATAGAGACTAAACAAACCCTAATCCAGCCCTAAACAAACCCTGAACATACCGTAAGAAACAGTACACCAAGCATAAATAGATCTTAACAAGCTTAAGTAATCAATAAACAAAGTTTAAATAAACCACAAAAAAAACACTGAATAATTTCAAACAAAAACTAAACCAACCGGAAACAATAATAAAACTAAACCAAACTTAAAGAAACCCTAAGCCAACCGCAAGAAGCACTTTGAACCAACCCTAAACAAACACCTGAAGCCAACTACCTTAAACCTTAAAACCAGCCTTAAAACCAACCCTAAACAAAACATTTAAAGCCAAAGCTAAACAACCATAAGCCTACGCCAAGTTAACACCGAACATATACGTATAGAAAGAAAACAGTTTTAAACACACCCTAAATCAACTTTAAGTCAGTCCGAAACAAACCTTAAACGAACCGTGAAGAAAACTCGAACCAACCTCAAACAAACTTAAAACTTGCCGTAAATAAACACTTCAAACCTACCCTAACAAAATCCCAAACCATCCGTAAATAAACAAGCCGAACCAAACATCAACAAACACCTTAAACCAACTGCAACTAGACCGGAAACCAACCCTCAAAAGGCTACGTATATAAATCCTAAATGAACCCGTAAATAAATATCCTAAACGAAACCTGAATCAAACCAAAGCCAGCCTTATATTAAAACCCAAAACTCTTAAACCCCTAAAAACAATCACGAAACTTGAAAGAAACACCTGAAATCTTCAAATCATGTCCAAATAAACCTTAAACCAGCCCCAAACAACCCCGCAAACCAACTTTAAATGACCCTAAGCAAACTCCAAACAAACCCTAAACAAAACTTGAACGCACGCTGAAGAAACACAAACCAAATTCAAATCGACCCTAGCAAATTTAAATAACCCATGACCCCACTCCAAATAAACCACAATTACTTTACTTCGTGTGATCCCCACCATGACATTTATACATTTTCTTACTGGCAAATCTTCTGGCATTCTATTTGACATATCTTCTGGCATTCTATCTGGCATTCTATCTGGCATATCTTCTGGCATATGTTCTGGCATATATTCTGGCATATCTTCTGGCATTCTATCTGGCTTATGTTCTGGCATATCTTCTGGCATTCTATCTGACATATCTTCTGGCATTCTTTCTGACATTCTTTTTGGCATTCTATCTGGCATATCTTCTGACATTCTATCTGACATCTTTTCTGACATTCTTCCCGTTGAGGTCCGGCAGTGCCCACTGCGATCTGGAAGTCGCGGTTGGGGTCGGCAGTGCCCACTGCGATCTGGAAGTCGCGGTTGAGGTCCGGCAGTGCCCACTGCGATCTGGAAGTCGCGGTTGAGGTCCGGCAGTGCCCACTGGGACCTGGAAGTCGCGGTTGAGGTCCGGCAGTGCCCACTGGGATCTGGAGCTCGCGGTGGAGGTCCGGCTGTGCCCACTGGGATCTGGACTGCGAGGAGGAGGCGGCGGGTGAGGAGGCGGAGGAGGCAGAGGAGGCGGAGGAGGAGGAGGAGAACAGCTCTGATAAAATCTAACAACCCTCACCTGGCAGGTGGGGAATAAACCCTCAAAAAACGTACGCCAAAATTTTCAAAAAACAACTTAAACCAATTACTTCACTTCGAATGATCCCCACCATGACATTCTATCTGGCATATCTTCTGACATTCTATCTTGCATATCTTCTGACATTCTTTCTGACATTCTTTCTGGCATTCTATCTGGCATATCTTCTGACATTCTTTCTGGCACTCTATCTGGCATATATTATGATTTTCTTTCTGGCATATCTTGTGGCATTCAGAACATTCTTTCTGGCATATCTTATGACATTCTTTCTGGCAAATCTTCTGACATTCTATCTGGCATATCTTCTGACATTTTTTCTGGCATTCTATCCGGCATATCTTCTGACATTCTATCTGGCATATCTTCTATCATTCTTTCTGGCGTATCTTCTGACATTCTGTCCGGCATATCTTCTGACATTCTTTCTGACATTCTTTTTGGCATTCTATCTGGCATATCTTCTGACATTCTATCTGACATCTTTTCTGACATTCTTCCCGTTGAGGTCCGGCAGTGCCCACTGCGATCTGGAAGTCGCGGTTGAGGTCCGGCAGTGCCCACTGCGATCTGGAAGTCGCGGTTGAGGTCCGGCAGTGCACACTGGGATCTGGAGCTCGCGGTTGAGGTCTGGCAGTGCCCACTGGGATCTGGAGCTCGCGGTTGAGGTCCGGCAGTGCCCACTGCGACCTGGAAGTCGCGGTTGAGGTCCGGCAGCGCCCACTGCGATCTGCAACTCGCGGTTGAGGTCCGGCAGTGCCCACTGGGATCTGGAGCTCGCGGTTGAGGTCCGGCTGTGCCCACCTTGGGATCTGGACTGCGAGGAGGAGGCGGCGGGTGAGGAGGCGGAGGAGGAGGAGAACAGCTCTGATAAAATCTAACGACCCTCACCTAGCAGGTGGGGAATAAATCAAGCAAAACCATGCAAAACCAAATTTAAGTAAACCACAAAACCCTGAATCAACATTCTAGATTCTAAACCAACTGTAGAAAGCACTTGAAATTTACCGTAAAGAGACACAAAATACCTTACAGTGAATCTTAAAAACCACCTTGAACAAATCCCATACCAACTCTAAACAAACACACAAACAACCTCAAATGAACTTCTTAAACAAAACCTAAATAAAGCAAAAACTTACAGCAAAAAAATCCGCCCAAAAGAATTCAAAAAACGTAAACCCTCAATCAACCCGAAGGCAGCCCTAGACAAACCTTCAGCCCTAAACAAACCCTAAAACAATTCCAAACAAGCCCCAGGCCAACCCGAAAGAAACACCAGAAACCAAACTTGCGCTAAACCAACCCTAAGTAAACACCAAACGCACCGGAACTGAACCATAATCAATTCCTAAATGAACCTGAAATCTGGCGCATGCATTTTTGGTGATTTTTCCAGAATATACCTAAAATATATCTAATTACATTACCCCCGATTCTTGCAGTTACACTAACACATGGGATGAAATATCTCCTGTAACTAGTTGTATAGCATGAAATAAGCCAGTCTGTAACTGGTTTCAGGGTTACAGGTGTAGCCTACATATTTAAGTGAACCACTTTAGCAGAGGTAAACAGGGGACCACTTTCCGTGGAAACTCAGGGTTCCGTCGCGAAACCTTCTACCCACTGCACTATGCTGTGCTGGAGAACGATGCAGAGATGGTACCTTGGCGAACGATTCGTTCGATGACGGCTTCGGTGGCGGTCCGCAGATGGGTTTCAACATGTTTCAACAAAATCCAGATGTATGTATATCCCATAGGATCCATGGTGCTGGTTTATATGCTAACATGGGGTATATTGGTGAGATCTATGTTACCATATATGGCATACATGGATCCTATGGGTATTTGAGTAATGGGCAAAATTAGTGTACTACTAATTTAGTCTTGATTCGCCCTGGCCTTTCTGAGGTTGCACAAAGCCTTCAGAACCGATAGGGGACGACATTTGTAATACTTCCGGGAGTTCTCAACCCTCACAACCGATAGGGGATGACCCTAAATTTTAATTGTGCATGACATTAAATTTAACAAGTAAGTTTTGACCGCTACTCATTTACATATATATATATATATAGAATGTTTTTACTTATGTTATATATATATATATATTTTTTTTATTTACATGATTTTACATGCATATGAATTTATAGTTGATATACTTGATTTGTTTACACTAAAATTGGCTGAGATATGTAGGTTCAGCTTATGGCAGGTATATTTCAAAAAGTTAATTGAGGGGCGGCTGAATCCTGAATAGAACATGTTGCTAACTGTTCCATCCTATGTGATGATCAGTCCTTTGGGAGTTTTTTTTTCGGCGCTTAGATTAGCAAATTCTATATGGAAGTCCATACTGTTTCCCGTTCGGAGGATAATCTTCATTGTTGTTTTTCCATCTCAATGTCTTACTTGACAAAAGAACACATACCAAAAGACAAGGTAATCTACAGAAATAGGGTTTCTTACTTGACTTTGGTAGGTGTTCAAAAGACTGGAAAGTAATCTACAAAAGAACACCTACCAAAAGTCTTCCCTCCCGGGAGCATGTCATTAGTGGCTGGCTGGTAATCTTGGTTAATCAACCTGTTGAAATAACTGGACTGGGTAAAGTCTCCCCGCACATACTTTACAACCAGGTACGAGTCGTGAAATGATCCCACAGGTGGTACATTGCGCAGAAATCATTATCTTGGCTCGCTAAAGTCCCTTTTCATATTAATCACCGAAAAATTGGCTCCTTAAATCAATCCAACTGTAGATATCTCAACTATGATTCTTCCAAAAAAAATCTTGAGAGTTGTTGTATGTTGTTGTGTCTGGAGCACCCCCTTTCCCATAGGTGAACATGTTGCTGATTGCTGGCAGCGACCCGCGTCAGAAGAGCTCCAAGGGCCGGCGCCCAGAGGATTTGGCACGAGACCTTGCCGCCGACGTGGCTGGTCCTAGTTGGAGATCCGCTGGGGAAAGCGCACAGCAAGGGTGTACCCAAACGTGGCTGGTTTGTTGGTTTATGACCCATATGAATACTGTAGTTGTATAGTTGGTGTATCCTCCATAAACCATAGTGTGGTCAGTTTAGTTTTTCCCACCAACTTAGCTATCTAGATAGGCCTCGCTTTGGCTATTTGGGGTTTTAAAATCCTCCAGTAAATTAACACATGGACCCTGAAAATAGAAAGTCATCTTCCAACTCGAATGTGGCGGGGACTACAGTAATTATGTTGATTTGTGGGATCTTAGTTAGGTTACTTCAGCGTAAATTTGAATTCAGTATATAGAGTCTCTATAATCTATAATATGGGGGATCTGTGCAATCCCCGAAGCCTCAGAGCCCTAGGTCAGGAAGGTTTTGTTTGGAGGGCGTTCAATATTTGGGTGATTCTTATTGTTGCTTGGTGTTTCTTAGTCAGTTACAGGAAACCTATTTGCTGGTTGCACCCTTGGCTCCTATATAGTTATATGGTTATATATTATATATATATACACTAGGGGGCCCCAGTTCCCCGATACTTCACTTCTTGGTGTTTTTTGTAATGTTCAATGAAACTCAATATTGTGTCTTTGCTGGGGTAACTTACTCATTTTTGAACACATGGTTGTCCTCTTGGAAATTGATGTTCGTCGGACAATTTTTGTTCGTCCGTTGAAGTTGAAATACAACATGTACGCTTCATTGGGGCCTCTATATTGTCAAATTGCTGATTTCCCCCGGCCCGCGATTTTAATAACGTATATATCCATTTTCTTTTGAAAAACGCTAAATTTATTGGGTTTTACCAGTCAAGATGAGACACGCAGTTGTTCTATTGATATTTGCAGTGTTTTGTAACTTGGCCAACCGAGCTGTATCTTCATAGTCAGGTTTATTGTATGTGCTTCCTTTGTTTCTTTGTTCTTCTGTTGTTTGCTGCTGTCGATGTGTGACCTCCTTTTTAACTTTCCCACGGCGCGCTTGCAAAGACCTACGTTTGAAGCTACGTTCTGCATATTTTCTAAAGCGGGCCAGCGCTTGCAGCACAGGCATGAGTCATGAGTCCTGGTGACGTAGCACGTCCTCAGCGTAGCATGACACGCGTGCGCAAGTGCGAGCATAGCATCACGTTTGTGTGCAAGTGTACTTAAACATTTTTTTTGCCCCACCCCATCCCATCCCCTAGGAGAATTTGAGCCCCCTCGGGCATATATGGGAGTCGTCCTCAAACCCATGCAAGGCTTTTAGTACCCGAGTGTGTTTTGCTGCAGTGGCGAAAGGCCGCGAAAGGGCGGCGTAAGGTTCGCGAAAGGTCTGAATACCATTATACTTATAAACCTATAAGTAAACGAAAACCTGATCATATATATAATCTCATGTCCCGATTCTGCTGGGGCGCGAAAAGGCGCGAAAGGTTCGCGAAAGCGCAGCGTAAGGGCGTTTTCGGGTACCATAATTTTGGACAACCCCCATATATGCATATATATATATATATATATGTGTGCATATATATATATACATACATATATACACATACATATACAAATACATACATGCATACATGCAAACCTGCATACATGCATACATTCATACATGCATATACATCTACACATACATACACATCTACATTAGCACATACATCTACATATACATATACATATGCGTATACATATGCATATACATATACATATACATATACCAACACATACATATAAATATATATTATATTCATATGTATGTGTATATATATATAAATACGTATATGCATATTTACATTTATGAATTAATTCTTGCCTCATTCCAACCCTTTCTGAGAAGGATCGGCTGGCCCCCAAAATCATACCCCAGTCCTTTTGTCAAAAAACATTAGCTGTGGATTCATGTAGAGAGTTGGTGGGAACCAAAGCGAGATGATTTTGCCCAGATCCAGCCCATGACTGCATGCGTCATGGCCGTTATTTGTCGCCATTCCAGCACAGACAACATTGTTCGCTGTTTTGGGGATGGTTTTGTTTTAATATCGAAATACTGCATCACTTGGTAGAAAGCTTATCCCATCACTAGTCCATTATTTGAAATCATTTGCATTAAACAAAAACATTTTTTTTTGCATAATTACCAGCTTCGAAGTTCAAACAACTTTGTAGAGCCGGGACGAACAGCTGCAGGGCAACTGCGAGACATTGGACAACTTGGACAAGATCATTCAAACCTTGCAGATGGCGGAGTCTTAAAATCTCGCCACTCGGAGAAGCCCAGGGTAAGAACCAAAATTCTTCGAGTGATCCCCACCCTGACACACTATTCTGACATAGTTTCTGAAATACCATCTGGAAGTATGTCATATATTTCTTGACTTTCCATTTGACATGCTTTCTGGCGAAAAAAAGACCTTCTACGGGTTGATTTAGAAAGTTGGTAGAATCAAAGCGAGATTATTTTGCACAGATCCAGCCCATGAATGCATGCGTCATGGCCGTTATTTGTCGCCATTCCAGCACAGACAACATTGTTCGATGTTGTGGGGATGGTTTTGTTTTAAATTTATCGAAGTTTAAACAGCGTTGTAGAGCTGGGACGAAGAGCTGCAGGGCAACTGCGAGACATTGGACAACTTGGACAAGATCATTCGTCCTTTCAGATGGCGGATTTTTCGCCACTCGAAGAAGCCCAGGGTAAGAACCAAATTTCTTCGAGTGATCCAAACCCTGACACACTATTCTGACATAGTTTCTGAAATACCATCTGGAAGTATGGCATATATGTCTTGACTTTCTATCTGACATGCTTTCTGGCAAATACGCTGGCATTCTATTTGACATTCTTTGTGGAAAATTATTTGACATTCTATCTGACATCCTTGCTGCAGGCATATATTCTGACATTCTTTCCGGCAATCTATTTGGCACTCTAGCTGCTAGCTTCCATCTATTCTGACATTCTTTCTGGGCATTCTATTTGGCAAATCTATTCTGGCCTTCTATCCGGCATCCATTCTGACATTTCTATCTGCCATTCTTTTTTGGCATCTATTCTGACATTCTGTCCAGCATTCTTTAGGGCTTTCTTTATGGCATTCTATCGACATGTTTTGACATTCTACCTGTCATTCTTTCTGGCATCCTATTTCGCATATATATTCTGGCATCCTGTCTGGCATTCATTTCTATCTGGCATTCTATCGGACATATGTTCTGACATTCTGTCTGGCATTCTCTCTGGCGAGTATTCGAGTCATTTCGGGTCTAGGCATGGCCGACTGCATCCGGAGCTTGCGATATAGAGTTCGGGTCCAGACGTGGCCCACAGCATCCGGGGCTCACAATAGAGTTCGGGTCCAGGCGGAGTTGCACCTTTGTTAGAATCTAGAGACCCTCACCTGGCAGGCGGGGAGACAATGTGTCTACTTAGTAGGAGCATAGGAGTCCCAGTTTACCTGAGCCAAGTTGATTGACATACGTAGGTCAACTATACTATACCGTGGTTATACTGTAGTTATGATAGGTGTATATAATAGCATTGAAACTTAGAATGCCAATTTGAAAAGGTGTTCCCTGCAAACAGCCCGCGGGCTAGCCAAAAAGGGGCGGGCGTAACCAAAATAAGACAGTAAGAACGCCGCAAAACTTTTGGTTGGAGGGGAAAATCATAGAAACAATGACACCAACTCAGCTTATTTAAATGACGATAGCAATATGCATTCTGACAACTTACGTAGAATGCCTGCCAATTTCCTCTCACATTGAAGCAAGTATTCAATGGCACCGCCGGCAATACCACAATAATATGAAGGTGCAAAAAATTATACTTAGAATGCCGCACCGCTGATGAGCTCCTAGATACAAGACATGACACAACTATGTGCAGTAGACTTATTGACATGTCATCTACAAGCGATTGATGAGTCAAGCGAGCATCTATACACTGTGGTTTGAAGGGTAGGTTAAATCAGAGTTCCCATGTTTTGCCTTACATATACCAATCTAACACAGTATGGCGCACAACGTTATACAAAACATCAGGAAACGATGCCTACATTGATATCTTGATTGTTTGTTTTTTAACCGGGGCCAGCAATGAGACTATATAGACCAAAGGGCTGGTAACAAAGACCTCCAGAGCCTTCTTCTGGATGAGTGTCAACGCTTTAGTTTTAATCATCTTCTTTACCCTGTTTTTCTTGTGCTGCCCTCGTGACCCCTGGGTGCAAACGCAGCGTGCTTCACCTGGCGAAGTCATACCCCAAGCCAGGGGAGAACAGGGGCAGGACCCGTTGTTTCATTTGTAGATGCAGCATGCATAAGGAGACTATATTAGGATCTGGGTTAATCGGTTTATCCCAGCTTTCCATGAACAATATCAAGGGGTTGATTAAATCCACCATGTTTGTGACCCACCCAATGATAGCTGCTTCAGATCAAGATTCGCCCTTCGAATCGTGGTTGTTGGTGGTTAAGATTTGCCTTCCCTGACGGAAAAGCACTTTCTTATTTGGGGGGCACCTTCATAGGCGCTTAAGAACGCATGTGTAATCCATGTATGACTGGCGTATTCCATGTTGTACTCATATATATATATATATATACCTCTCAAAGCACGGGCAAAAGGGGCCCAGAAATGCGACCAGAAGCCGAGAAGCCGAGAAGCCGAGAAGCCCGACACAAGCCGAGAAGCCGAGAAGCCGCGAAGTACGACACAAGCCGAGAAGCCGAGACAGCCGAGAAGCCGAGAAGCCCGGCACAAGCCGAGAAGCCAAGAAGCCGAGAAGCCACCGGACAAGCCGAGAAGCCGCGAAGCCGAGGAGCCGCCGGGCAAGCCGAGAAGCCGCGAAGCCGAGAAGCCGCCGGGCAAGCCGAGAAGCCACCGGACAAGCCGAGAAGCCGAGAAGCCGAGAAGCCACCGGACAAGCTGAGACAGTAGCCCTGGAACCCCCTCTGAACACTATGTTGCATCTTCACCGTCACAAGACATCAACTCCCCAACCCCCCCTGAACAATACGTTGCACCTTGAGACATCAGCCCCGCCACCCCCTTTGAATATCTGTTGCATCTTCGAAGATCAAGCCAGCGACCCCCTCTGAACACTACCTCGCCCCGTTAAACTTCTACATTCATTGAAGATCTTCAATGAGGGTTTAATTCTCCCAGCCCCTTCAAACTTCTACATTCATCGAAGATCTTCAATGAGGGTTTTAATTCTCCCAGCCCCGTTAAACTTCTACATTCATTGACGATCTTCAATGAGGGTTTAATTCTCCCAGCCTCGTTAAACTTCTACCTTCATTGACGATCTTCAATGAGGGTTTAATTCTCCCAGCCCCGTTAAACTTCTACATTCATGGACGATCTTCAATGAGGGTTTAATTCTCCCCAGCCCCGTTAAACTTCTACATTCATTGACGATCTTCAATGAGGGTTTAATTCTCCCCAGCCCCGTTAAACTTCTACATTCATCGAAGATCTTCAATGAGGGTTTAATTCTCCCAGCCCCGTTAAACTTCTACATTCATGGACGATCTTCAATGAGGTTTTAATTCTCCCCAGCCCCGTTAAACTTCTACATTCATTGACGATCTTCAATGAGGGTTTAATTCTCCCCAGCCCCGTTAAACTTCTACATTCATGGACGATCTTCAATGAGGGTTTAGTTCTCCCGAGCCCCGTTAAACTTCTACATTCATTGACGATCTTCAATGAGAGTTTAATTCTCCCCACCCCCGTTAAACTTCTACATTCATGGACGATCTTCAATGAGGTTTTAATTCTCCCCAGCCCCGTTAGACTTCTACATTCATTGACGATCTTCAATGAGGTTTTAATTCTCCCCACCCCCGTTAAACTTCTACATTCACTGACGATCTTCAACGAGGGTTTAATTCTCCCAGCCCCGTTTAACTTCTGCATTCATGGACGATCTTCAATGAGGGTTTAATTCTCCCCAGCCCCGTTAAACTTCTACATTCATGGCCGATCTTCAATGAGGGTTTAATTCTCCCGAGCCCCGTTAAACTTCTACATTCATGGACGATCTTCAATGAGGGTTTAATTCTCCCCAGCCCCGTTAAACTTCTACATTCATGGACGATCTTAATAGAGGGTTTAATTCTCCCAGCCCCGTTAAACTTCTACATTCATGGCCGATCTGAAATGAGGGTTTAATTCTTCCCAGCCCCGTTAAACTTCTACATTCATTGAAGATCTTCAATGAGGGTTTAATTCTCCCAGCCCCGTTAAACTCTTACATTCATTGACGATCTTCAATGAGGGTTTAATTCTCCCAGCCCCGTTAAACTTCTACATTCATCGAAGATCTTCAATGAGGGTTTAATTCTCCCAGCCCCGTTAAACTTCTACATTCATTGACGATCTTCAATGAGGGTTTAATTCTTCCAGCCCCGTTAAACTTCTACATTCATGGCCGATCTGAAATGAGGGTTTAATTCTCCCGAGCCCCGTTAAACTTCTACATTCATGGACGATCTTCAATGAGGGTTTAATTCTCCCCAGCCCCGTTAAACTTCTACATTCATGGACGATCTTCAATGAGGGTTTAATTCTCCCCACCCCCGTTAAACTTCTACATTCATGGACGATCTTCAATAAGGGTTTTATTCTCCCCAGCCCCGTTAAACTTCTACATTCATGGACGATCTTAAATGAGGGTTTAATTCTCCCAGCTCCGTTAAACTTCTACATTCATGGCCGATCTTAAATGAGGGTTTAATTCTTCCCAGCCCCGTTAAACTTCTACATTCATTGAAGATCTTCAATGAGGGTTTAATTCTCCCAGCCCCGTTATATATGAACTTCTACATTCAATGACGATCTTCAATGAGGTTTAATTCTCCCAGCCCCGTTAAACTTCTACATTCATCGAAGATCTTCAATGAGGGTTTAATTCTCCCAGCCCCGTTAGACTTCTACATTCACTGACGATCTTCAATGAGGGTTTAATTCTCCCAGCCCCGTTAAACTTCTACATTCATGGACGATCTTCAATAAGGGTTTAATTCTTTCAGCCCCGTTATATATGAACTTCTACATTCATTGGCGATCTTCAATGGGGGTTTCCGTGTCGCGCAGCGACGCAACGCCGTGTGCACTCTTGCAGAAGGAAGCGTCGCAGCGCCAACAGCGTCGCAGCGTCGCTCCCGCGTCGCAGCGTCGCAGCGTGCAGCGCCAACAGCGTCGCAGCGTCGCTCCCCGCGTCGCAGCGTCGCAGCGTCGCAGCGCCAACAGCGTCGCAGCGTCGCTCCCGCGTCGCAGCGTCGCAGCGTCGCAGCGCCAACAGCGTCGCAGCGTCGCTCCAGCAGCGTCGCAGCGTCGCAGCGCCAACAGCGTCGCAGCGTCACTGGCCCAACGGCAGCGTCGCAGGGTCGCAGCGTCGCAGCGTCGCAGCGCCACCCGCCCCCCGGAGCGTCGCAGCGTCGCAGCGTCGCAGCGCCACCCGCCCCCGGGAGCGTCACAGCGCAACGTCGGAAACCCACGCTTCGGCCCCCTTTGCCCCTGCACTGTGTATCTCACTTCCACATAATGATTGCAGGGTTCGTGAAATCACTCTGAACCACAAAACCACATACCAACCGCGTCCGACAAGATGCCATGCCGAGGTCCAGTGTTGCAACTCATTTGGCTGACCCCTGCTGACAATGGACATTCACCCGGATTTGATGAGAACTTCAGTTGAGAATTTGGTTCCATTTGATTTTAACTGTCAGAACTTCATAGAATTTCTGGTTGCGTGGTGTTCCAAACCTATGGAGACATAAAACTCAACAAACAAATGTAACCACCACTCACGGGGATATTGTCCGGAAATAAGAGTTGATTGATGGGTGACAGTGAAAAAAGGATTGCACCAAGGGGTTTCATATGGATTGCCCTAATCCAAGGTGGGAAGTCCTATCAAGCGCTAGTGGGTTTTGGGTTGGCTGAATTCTGTTTTTGCGAGGCTTTGCCCATTTGATGCATTGAAGGTCCCTCAACATGTGATCAGAAATTCCATGTATGGATTGATTTAATATGATTTAAGTATTCCAGTAGTACCGCGCAAAGCGGCGGCGGAAGTTTCCAAAATAAAGAGGTTTGTTGTGGTGACGCATGCATGTCGACAGGCGGTTGAGGCTCTGTGTCTCTCTCTGTCTCCTGTTCTGTGCGTCTCTCTCTTTATCTCTCTTTATCTCTCTTTATCTCTCTTTATCTCTCTTTATCTCTCTTTATCTCTCTCTATCTCTATCTCTCTCTATCTTTCCCTCTCCCTCTCCCTCTCCCTCTCCCTCTCTCTCTCTCTCTCTCTCCCCCTCTCTCCCTGCCTCCATCTCTCTCTGTCTTTATCTATTTGTTCGCCTGCATATCTGTGTATATCCCTGACTATCTATCTATCTTGATCTCTCTCTATCTCTCTATCTCTTCATTATCGATCTATCGACCTATCTATTTGTCTATTTGCCTATCTGCCTATTTGCCTATTTGATCCTATTTGCCTATCTGCCTCTCTGCCTATCTGTCTAGCTGTCTATCTGTCTGTCTGTCTATCTATTTATCTATTTATCTATCTATCTGTTTCTCACTATCTATTTAGTTCCCTGTCCATTTATCTGTCTCCGTCAATCTCGCTAATCTCTGTGTTTTTTCCCTCTGTCCCTATCTCTCTTTATCTTTCTACCTACCTCTCTACCTATCTCTCTACCTATCTATCTATCTGTCTGTCTATCTACCTATCTCTCTATTTGTCTTCTGATCTCTTATTATATCTCATTTCTCCCTATCTCCATGTCTATCTGCTATCTCTATCGCTATCTCTATCTCTTTCTCAATCTATCCACCCACACACCCATCCATCCTTCCATCTATCTATCTGAAAGGAAACAGTTATGCGATACTTCCATATACTTCCCTCAAAAGTTGAAGTTGACAGGTTCAAATTCTGTGAGACTTCCTCAAAAAGTGCAAAGTTGACAGCCCCAAAACGAAGAAATTCTGCGAGACTTCTTCAATGTTTGAAATTGAGAACGTCAAAAAAAACGAAGCAGTTCGGCCAGATTTCCTGCAAAAGTGGAGAGTGAGTGGAGTGCGGAGCTGACGGCCTCGTGCCAATCTGTTTTGCGATTTTTGAATTTCACCTGTCTAAAGAATTGCGCCTGCCACGAAGAAGTGAGGCCAGGTCATATGAAGTGCTGCACCTGTCATGCAAATCACGCAGAATTACCTTGGCAAACCTGAAGATCTGACGCTCCAAAATGCAACCTCTCTCAGGAAATCAGCGCCCTGACCTCCTAACATGTCTGATGGAGATGTCTCTTGTACTGCGCCTGCCGCGCGAGATGTATCTTTGCCGATCCTCTTCAAACGTCCCACGCCTGCCATCGTTTTCGAAAAGTTTGAAAGCGCTCTAAAACCCACATGTTTGGCAAGGTGCAGAGTCAAAAAATGCGATTCAGCGTCCAAAAGTGGTCTTTAACATGTTGTTGATTTCAAAATGTGCTTCACGCCGCAACAGCTTGCACTTTTTCGACATCTCAAACTCCAGAAGTTGTCCGAACTAGTCCGAACATGTAGGGCTTTTGCCATTATCACTTCGAAAAGTGCTTCGCGCCACAGCAGCGCGCACTTTTGAACACTTCAATTTCCGAAAGTGAAGTGCTTTCGGCATGTTCACTTCCAAATGTGCTTCGCGCCACATCCGCGTGCATTTTTTCAACGAATCTTTGGAAGTGCTCCGGACGACGTAAGGTGCTTTTAGTTTTTTAAATTCAAAATGTGCTTCGAGCCACAACACAACAACTTGCACTTTTTCGACATCTCAACTTCCAGATGTGCTTTGACCAAGAAGTCTTTTCAGAACTTTGACTTCGAAATGTGCTTAGCGCCACAACGGCGTGCAATTTTGACTCTCATCCGACCAGATGGCTCCGCACCCGCCGCTATAGCGAGCCTACTTTTCGACACTGCAGGGCCACAAAACAATGGACACAAACAGCGTTTCGCGACTTTTCTACCTCTTCGCGCATTTTGAACTTCTTTCTTCTTGCTCTGTTTTCTCTGACTCTTCTTTTCTCTGTCCTTCTTTGTACTGACTCTCTCTCTCTCTCTCTCCCTCTCTCTCTCTCTCTCTCTCTCTTCCTTCTCTGACTCTTCTCACAACTGTTGCGCGTCTGTCCACAAGTTGGAACTTTGACTTCTAAATTTCTTTCGGTCACTCATGGATTAAGTTATTGTTGAATTACATTCATAATCCTTGGGGAGCCAAAAACGCCTGTTTACATGCATGGTTTCCCAAAACAAACAGAAATGGCTCTACTTTCCTTCATTATTAAAATCATTGTTTTTACATCTGTGATTAATATACGTCTATACTTACACAATTATCACATAAGGAGCATCAATTTCGGGTTGAAAAGAAGTCCGTGGCAGCTTGAGATGATGCATTTTCAAGCAGCAGCACTTCAAAACATCCCCGCTTGAATGTAGCACCCCAAAAAGAAAAAATCAGACATGCTTGGTCAACTTGTGACAAGGAGAATTGTTGCAAATGACATGCATGATGGTTTGAAAGAAAACCGAGCACCAAAACAAAGCTGTTCTGGACTCGTGGATTTTGAGCACCATTGTTTCTAATTACGAATCATTAAGGGGTTCAAAGTGCAAACAAACACCAAAAGCATATAGTATCACCGAATTTGTTGGGCCGTATCACTCCTATCAATAACTGATGTCAGCCAACCGCGTGTACAAACACAGTGTAAACGATAAACATAAATCATCCCTTCCACTATGAAATTCCACCAAATCAAGGACCCCAAAACATGACGCACAAAGAAACACCGGCATCCATGGCGTATTTAACTATTAAAGGCGTGCCTGAAAACGGGCTACGCTGTGGTAATTTAACTTAGCTATGGAATGCTATGGAAAATTAACCGTTTGTCGGTGATTTCCCTGTTATTTCCATGGCCATTCTCCATGGTTTTGCTAGATTACCAGAGGATATATCCCTTTATATGTTCATATATCTGGAAAATAATACGAAACACCGACTTGGGAAATAACCCGCCATTCCAAACTTCCGGAAGAATTGCGACATTTTTCCCAGTTGGACCCCCCCAAGTCATGAACAGATTCTTTGGAGCATCCAGCCAGAATTCAGCAATACAAAGCCTCGGTTGAGTGATGATTGATGATATGGCGTGCTATGCATATACATATACTTACATACAATTACATACATACATAGATACATACATACATGCATACATGCATCCATACATACATACATACATACATATACAT